AATAAATAATCTTTTGTTTTCAATCAGATATGTCTGGAACCATGGTCTATAAACTTAATCTTTAGGATTACAAATGCTGGAAGGAATCCTGTAGAGACAATTTTAATCCGGACAGAATTAGAAAACATCACAGCAAGCAAACATTTTTTTGAGTAACATCACTAAAAATACATTTTGGCAGTTACATTTACTGCTCAGTGTCTGAATCCTATTAACAATATACCTAGAAGAATGTGTTGAAGATGGGTGGGTGGGATATGAATTTGCACGTGTTCTCACAGTTGGGAGAGAAACACTGGCCATAAAGACATTTACTCAAACTGCCTCAGCTGGCCTGAAGTAGGTAAACAGTGAGAAAGTGGTGATGCTGGTTGTGAGCCCACAACCATGCTATGAGAAAACTCATTTGCTATGCCTTTAGTACATTAAGGGAATATCTTAGCATTTAGGCAAATCTTTAACTGGTGCATTATATAAACCTGTCCTGAAGAATTATTGAAAACGTTAGTGAAAAGTGACAATTTTCTTTTGCAATTTAATTAATTATGCACAAATTCTGCTGAAAGCAATTAAAGAAATTCATAACAGCATGATTAGTTTTATTTATTAGATGTTATTTCATTCCACATATTTTATACTTCACTCAACAACCTAACTGTACATATATTGTCACTGCTTCAATTTGCACAGTTGCTGAAAATTTTCTTTTAAATGAAAAAAAATGTGATAATAACATTAGGACTTTGCAATATTTTTCCTTTGTGACGATACCAGATGCTGTGTGTGCAGGTCAGCAATGGTGACTTGACTGCAATATACACAATAGTGCAATTTATTCAAACTACATCATGGTCAAAGAGAGTGAAATTTAATTCTGTAGATCTGCCAATATCTTATACTTTATGTCCTTACATCTAAACAAGGGTTGAGACAAGGGCTTTGTTTCTTTTCTGTGTGTGTGTGCATCTTTTGCTAGTGTATGCAAACCATGACATTAGTTATTGCCTTTGCCCTTTTGACAGCTGTACAGTGATAGAGATAAATGGAAAGGCCGCAGTGTTCTCGTCATTCTCTCATGTATATGCTGCAGCTATAGCACAGGTTCAGCCTTCGAGGCAACTAGACTACGTACCTTGATTTCCCTTTTTNCTCCAAACACAAAATCCTTAATGTTCATTTTGGTTAATTCAAACCTTTTCAATCTGAATGTCAAACTGAGGTCTCTCCTCTAATTATATCCCTTTTTGTTTGAAGAAAAAGTCCTTTATTGCTCATAATTCCAGCTATCACCTGCTTATGCTCCTTCCGTAGATCAATAGCACCTAGTTAAGTGGATGAAAAGGCTAAATGTGACTATCGTTTGCAATGCCAGGGGTTATTCTGCTTTTAAGTGGTGCGCTTGTGCCTCATTTTAGAATGGTAAATTCAACTCCCAGGTGGTCTGAATTTCAGAACCTTTTTTTTATTATTAAGGATCTGTCATTTTTTTCCTCCAAAGCTTCGGTGCTAGAATAGGTTGCAGTAAAATTGCTTGTTTAACCATCATACAGAAAATCTACATTAGACTCAAAAGCTGCTAGCCATACATCTCTGATGGCAAACCTACGCCAGTTTTAATGCAACTAAAATCAATAAATATTAACCTTTTCTGACACTTCCTACACTGATACTTTATCAGCTGCTGTCATCTTATACAATAAAAAGCCAGTGATGCATTGTATTTTTAAACTAAGAATCGATGATAGATTAGAAAATCAATACAGATTAGCAAAGATTCAATATTAATTACTTTTTTAAAAAAAAGATAGAGCATGACACACCATTAGAATTTTAGTTACATGAAGAAACTGTCTCAAGTGTTGAAACATTAACCTGGTGCTCTCTTTCATTTTATATCTTATTGTATCTTAAAGTTTCAAGTTACTAAACTTACATATTCAGATCTAATCTGTAAGATTGCAAAAGGATTTGTCGCAAGCGAGTTATGCTGGTATCTGGAAGTATTTTAGTTTGGTCAGCCGGGTGTCTGACACATGCAGAATCCCATCACTGTGCTTAAGAGTGTCCAGACCAAACTGAGAGTTCCACATATGCATGCCACCTATACATGGAAATTCATGTCTTGAATGGAACGTTACACTTTCTTCCCAGAAGGATGGGTTCTGCTTACCTAATTCTGGAGAATAGGTGCAAATTGGTGAGAGTCAAGGCTCGGGGACTCCAGATTGTGCATTGATATACAGCTAGAGTTTAACCAGCTAATCCACATCGCGTGCCACTGAAAACACCGCGTGGAAAGTGTTACTTGTCCAGCTTAGATCACTCTATCAATTAGGCTTGGTTAGCCAAAGACTTAACAGTAGGGCTGGAGTGTGTGAAGTCAACCTTCCCGAACTCTGTTTGGTTACAGATTGACACGATCCCTGCCAGACATCAAGATCTGCCTTTGGCCTCAATTATGGGTATCGTGTTAGAGATTGGTGTCCAAGCAGAGTCCTGGTACTTCCAAAAAGAATTGGGAGTATTGCAAAATTAGAGTCCAATTGTGTATCTAAAGTAAGATAGCACCTAAATGCAAGGCACTGAGGGTTCAGATGGGTTCAAACACAACAACATCTCAAAGAGTTTATTAACATTGACTGATAGTTAAAACCACTTATTCTAAAGATAAACACAGAACACAGAGCTTACAAGCTTGATAACCTAAAAAGATGAAGGGAGAGTTCTTAAAATGCGAAAACTATGCTCTAGTTTAAGCTGCAGGTTTCACTGGAATACAGTGATATATTTTTTTCACAAAAAATAATAGCAGTGTTGAGCTGTAGATTCATGGATGACAGCCACTTGAAACTGTATCACATATCGGAAACTGCAAAGATGCAGCCCGTAAAGCAGCGATATAAGCTTTTATTTCTCTGAATGTCACCCGCAAATAACAAAGCCTATATATTATTAACATTTACTCTCTGAAACATGCTGTACAGCCTTTGTCACATTGTCAATAATATGACCACATTCAATGGCTTAAATTTACGAGAAAAGGTCGATGTTAAGATATTTTGAACACAATTTTCAAAAAGAAACAAGGTAGAAAACACACAATTCTTGCAATGTTTTAGTGATCACATTGAGGAAACCTTTGAATTTTGTGCTCATTTTCCAAATGCAGGGACTGGGGACAATTGGGCTGTCCATGCCTCACTCCCACATGTCATAGTAAGTTTAAAATTCACTTCACCAGCACAAAAGCTTACAATGGTACCCACCAGCTCCCACAAAGGACATTAAGTTTGAAAAAAGTTCTCTGCATAAAGTGGTAACATTATTGACACTTGGCAACCCAAAACCACTTTGTGACATAAGCTGTGTTTTCTGCAGGGAGCACCTGTTTGCTCAGTCATGGCCTTGTGAGTTGGTGAGACATACATAGGATTCCCAGCTTCAAATATAATTGAAGTCCCAAAGCTTTCTTTTCTGGTGAGCAGGTACCAGTAATATTACCAATTTACCGTGATACTGTTTACATCCAAAGTGTTTTTGCCAGTGACCACACAACAACAATGGGAGCAGATGATTGGGGCAGAAGGTGGGGCTAGAAGTGCTTTTTAGTCCGCATTGAGAAATGTAACCTTCTCTTTGGTTTTGACTTCATAATTGCAATATTCATATCATGGAATGAACAGTTTGTAAGCAAATCATATAATTAAAACTCATTGTGAGGCTGATAATTTTGTGGAATCACCTCATAATGCTGTAATACTAAAAACTTGAAGTATTATTTTATGTGAAGGGAAAGATAGGCAAAAGGTGGAAAGTGCTTCATTCTGTCCTCAGGAGTTCAACTCCTTTTCCAGGTGCATATTTTATTTAAGACAGATGGTATAAACTGGATAATTCTTTTTGACAGATGTGAGCAACAAGCTGACAATCAAACTAATATTCATGCCAAGACAGGAATTTCAACCTATATGAACCTCTAGTACATACAGCAAGAAACTAATAAAGATACTAATTTGAAGGAAAGGTTTTCCAGATTATAATACAGGTAGGACAATATTTAATCAGCCCTTTTTTCACCCCAATAATTTTTGCCATTTAGATTTTGGAGAATATATGTTCATAGGGGCTGTAATTTGCTTTGTACAACCCTGCAGCTTAGTCTTAGCCTTGTTGCCTACGATACCGGGAGAAATGGGCAACAATCCCCCAAATAAAATTGTTCACAAATGTAATCTCTCTTGGGGACACTTCTGTGCGCAAATTAACTTCCCCATTCACCTACAAAATATGCAATCAGAAAAATTATGAAGTTCTTTGATACATTCCCAATGTTAAAGATTCCATATAAACTGCAGTGATTATTACATTATTAATTTTCCACAATTTAATTTTTTTTACAGTCTAAGACTAGATGAGATATTTCACCCTTCTGGCTCCTTACGATATGGACTTAATCAATATAAACATTTTATCAAGCCAAAACAACTTCTAATTTTAACTACCAAGATAATCCTTCAATATTCATTCCTCCTACAATCTCTGGCCCTTTAAACCTAAGTATAGTGTCTCTTAACCACCGCTGGTTTGATTTTTCCACTACTCGTTATGTTGGTGGTTTCCCTGTTCTATGGACTTTGCCCTCACACAGCTTTTTTCAATATAAAAATATAATGATGATCTGTTTTAGATCAATTGTTTTAAGGCACAAAATAAAGATGACAAGTTGTAATATTTCCTTTGCTGTTAATATTTACCCATTCCAAATGCTTTTCATTGCACTAATAATAAAACAATAAGTGTGAATAAGGGAGAAAAGAAAGCTGATGATTATAAACTTCTTACATCAGTCTTGAAATTAGATCATGACAAGTTGACAGTAAAGGGGAGCACTATTAGTCCAATAATATGCTAAATGCATGCCAATAGTGTGTCATTAAGAGCCATATAAGGAGTCTGAGGAAGGAGTCAAAGAATTAGAAGATCGAGAGGCTGGCCCTTACCTGCGTGCAAATAAGCCAGATCTGGGTTCTCAATATCCGGGTGGATCTCCTTGAGATGGTTCCGAAATTCTAATGGAATATTTGTTCCATACTCACACTTGGGGCAGTTGTACATTCGCACCCCCTCATGTTTGCCAGTGTGTAGGATATGCTTGCGAATGTTCTCAGCACAGTTAGACCTATATTTTAAAAGAAAATGAATATATAATTTGCCATTAGATGCAGGGTTACAATACCACAGTAGCTTAATTGGTTTTATTCTTTCCATTAGATGCACATAAAAGATTTGAAAATTGTTGAAAATCTTTAAACACAGAGTCGATTATGCTGAACTTCTGGAGAACTGCTGAAGTGAAACTGGAGCTGGTTTTACCAAATCTAGCATTGCCACCATATACATTCAGGCCCTGTTATAATGAACTTTGGTGTACTGCAGACCCACAGTAAACTGGAAGTATATCAATAATAAAAATTATTTTGATATAATGCCTTATCATGTTGTTGAGACCACTCATAGCACTTTACAGGATATATTGTAAAGTGGTGTGACTGTATTTTGTGAGTGAACGTGGCAGCCAATTTGTGCACAACAATGTCCCAGAAACAGTACACTTCTTGTCTGACTTCCTGTGCCATAAAGTGCAGGCACAGAAGACCTCCTGTTTCCAGTTGGCTTCTAGCAACTGCTGGCAAACTTGCGAGAGTGATTGCTGACATCAAGCGCACAGTCACATGCTGGAAGTGAGGTCAACGATGATCTGCGTTAACCAGTGGCCATTTTTATACAGCACCCCATTATAATGTTGGGCCATTTTTTTAAGGACACAAACTACTGTGTTCTAAAAGGATCCAATGTATTATAGATTCTGAGTCAGTGTGACTGGACACTTTCAAGGACAATGCGAATATACCACAATACCTGTGCCATGTACTGGTTCAGTCTGAGACTGCACAAACACACAGGATAAGAAATATACAAACAAAGTGTATGAAGAAACTAGATAAATGTGAATTTCAGTCCTTCAAAATATATAGTTAAAAAAGTCTTCTGCTAACTAGGAAGCTAGAGATTTCGCAACTATTAGTCATGTTTAAGTTTGCAGACACTGTTGCCAACTGAAAACTTGATAACAGAGCTGAATAAAGAGTGAATGAAACATTGACAATGCAAGTAACAATTTGCACGTCAACATACATTTCAAGAAAATAACTAATTTTAAACTGCAGGAGTTTTTTTAATGCTGGAGATCAGAACAAAAAGTTGCAGAATATTTCAAATCTATAAATGCCCATACTTTAAACCCCCCCCCCCACTCCCACCATTTAACATTCGTTATGCATTCTGCTCCACCTAAGTACAGCTACATGGTCTGCTTCGTGGCAATGTCAAAGCCATGATACCATTTCTCAATTTTCTCCTAAAACATTGATTGCCTCGTGACGGACTATGAACCAAGTAGCCCAAATTGCAACTTGTGAAACTCATTCAAGCAAACCGAGCAAGCTCTAGTTTTGAAAACCCTTGTGCCTTGATCTTCTGTTTCAGAAGTTACCAGTTCTTGACCTTTTCAGCTCCAGGCCACCTTCAACTTTAATTTTTTAATTTTCCTTTTTTATGGAAATATCACCTTAAATTCCTACATTAAGGCAGATGCTCACACAAATCCAAGTGAAGCAGTTTTCAGGATCTAAAACGTTAAAATTCCTTGTCATTTTAATAACAATAACCAACGTTGAATATTGTAATTTGCAAAAAGCAACATCATTAGGGAGAACTAGGATGAGAATGGCATTGACAAAGTTCTACTTTTTCTCCCAATGATCGGCCAACATAGACCAAAGCTACATTGAATTGTAATAACATTTTCATTCGCTTTTTTTTAAATACATCTGGAACAATTCATGGTAAAACTCAGTAACTTCTGTCATTTCATTTACGTATGTAATTTTTTATTATTATTACTGTGTTTAATCCAGGAGCACTGTTGCTTTGCTGTTAGTACAGTAATGTAAATATAAAGTCCAATTTACATTTCCTGCTCTGCACTGTTTTTAATCAGGAACTCTAAAAATCACAAAGACAGTCATCGGCTTTTTAATGCTGTTATTAATGTTGCTCGATTATCTCTTGTAAAAAATATTTCAAAATGGTGCCTTATTATGGATCTTGGTTGATCCATAACTGTGAACAGATCCTGGGGGAGCAAGCCCGATTTTCCCTAGGAATAGAACCAAGAATATCAAACTCCAGCTCTTTGGCCTTCACAGCTGTTTCTGATACAGAGGGCATGAATATTGCCATCAGCCATGGCGCCCAGTAAAAAAAACGACTCAGGAAATTTCGTATAGCATGGAAAGGGTAAACACTACGAGAATAAAAACAGCTAAATGTGTGCCATTTTCACAGAAACATCTGTGCATGTTTCACAAACAACTTAATCTTTGCCGAGGAATCTGTCCAGTTGCAAGGAATACATAATGTCAAACATCGGAGCACCTGGAAGATGCTTTACACGAGGCTTGTTCAGTTATTGCCGCCCCTGTATACATGTATATTGAACTTTCACCACGCAAAATCCACAGTAATAGCTTGTGCTTCCCTTCTTCTAGGAATTCACCTTTGTCTTCTCAATGTAATATTTATAAGATCTCTTTCACAATATTATTTTCTGCCTAAAACTGTTCAATAGTTAAAACACTAAGTATTTTTGTATGTAGGAATGAGTCTTTTTTTAACTAACCTGATCCGATACACACTACTATTATGGAACAAACTGAATTGTTTGGATAATTCAGACTCTGCTGTACATTATATATTCCATTGTGCAGGACCCGTGCTCCTCAAATCCAAACAAGCCTTATACACTCAGCAAAATCTGAGAAGAATTCAAGGACAGCTCCAAATAGATGCAACTGTTGCCGAATTTACATCCTTCTATTATATGATGGATGGATTACAGTGAATGGAGATTACAATTTTCATTGCCTAGGATAATAATAATAATCCTTGCATTTGATCTAGCGCCTTATCACATCGTTGAGATGTCTCAAAGCGCTTCATAGAATATACTGTAAAGTGAATTGACTGTATATTTTGTGGGCGAAATGATTGCTTAACAAGAGGTGCTACACAATCAATATCTTGTATCAAAATAACCATAAACTTAAGTAAAATAACAACTGTTTCAATAAACTGTTAAATGAAAGTTTTTTCCCCCTGAAGTTAACTACAGTTGTTAAAACAAGGAAATGATTCATAAGCAGTGGACGTTTTGTGGGGGTGGGTTGGGAAGGGAAGGAGATGATTATACAAACCTCTGCAGCTATATTTTTAAAACATTCCCATTTTCATATATTGTAATTTATTTTTTCACCCAAAGCTATCATGCAAGTCTAGAAAGGCGTCTTCTATAATTGCCATCCTTTGAAAGTAATTCAATCTGTAACTAAAATAATTTCCAAAAATGTTTTCAACGTAAGAGCATTGTGCACGACAGAACATCATTGAAGCCAAAAACTAGAGATAAAACTAGCACCCACAGTCACTGGAGAAATTTAAAAAATAACAGTCATTACACAATAATTATTCTAAGATATTTCAACATGTTAAGGCACTATAAAAATGTAAGTTTTCTTCTTTCATTTTTTCCAGAATTCAACATGATGGAATAAGAAACCAAAACAATTTAGTAATTTAGAAACAGTTAAAGTCTGCTCTTAAATCACAAAGGCATCCCTTTCAACAGCTAGTAGATAATCCAAGGTCAAACACTGATATTTTTGTTGGTCTTCATAAGAAATTCTGAATAACCTATATTTTAGCATCTTAATGAATATATAACAATTCAAACACATTTTCGCAATAGAAGGCTGAAGACAGCTAATAAAATTTGCAGTGCTCCTAAGTATGCTGATCCTCTTCCTTCTCTTTCACCATCCTCAAAAAAATGAAAGAAAAATGGTATCAAAATGCTTTTTATCGCAATGCTTTAGTAAGCTAACTGGCGTTTGTAACCGTAGGAGACTATGAAGGTCATCAAAAGGTGACACATACAGTTTAAACAAGATGCATAATACAGAGGACAAACACTCCAATAATGTTACGAGCTGCAGCAGACTACCCTAGTGGGGACGTTACAGTGATGGCCTTCAGTAAGATACTTAAGTTGAAAAGGACTACAGAAAGCTTACTCAGCGTCTCCATTTAGAATAAAATTAGTTTAAAAATGGATGATTACCATTCAAGCTCGGGAGACCCGGAAAATACTAGCATGATGGCCTGTGGCAGATTGGTAACGTAGAACAATAAGTAGATTAGTAAAGCAAAGACGTATAAGAGTGGATTCAGAGGATAAATGCGAAGAAAACAGCATTATTAAAACGCTACAATAACTGCAAAACAAAGACGCATGTGAATGCACATATTGGATGTAATGTTTGCACAAATACAATGGTAAAGCAGTGGTTCCTACACCATGTTTCACTCATTCAAATATACTATCAAATTTGTACGGAATCATTTTTGTTTAAAATCTACCAAAATAAAAGTGTGGTATTGGTCTGCACTGTCTCAGCATATCTAACCTATTGGCTGGCAAGAAAACAAATTGATTTTACAATCTGTAAAACATTTGGGACGTATATTTTAAACCCAGAAGAAATGAAATTTGTTGATGTACCTCTCGGAATTACACACTAAATGGAAATGCTTTGACATTGCTAGGTTCTCATTTGTAATCCATGCTTATTTTTTTATATGCTCAGTTCCAATCTTGTCTGGTAAAATTCCGTTTATACAAACCTCCCCCTCTCTCCTCAAAAAGAGTCTCATTTTAACAACTTTTACAAAGGAATCTGTGGAATTACAGTAAAAGCGAGGAAATCAGATTTTACAACAAAAACTTGAATAATGCATATCTGCTTCATAAAAAAAGCCTATGTAGTCATTTAAAAATGTCCCATACAGTTTCGCAAACCGCACAATGTTCATCTTTTGTCCCTTGGAACTCTTACAAATGTCTTTTTAACGGAATATATGATGATCCCGAAAGACATTTTCCCATTTCTATTCTCTTCAACTCCTGTGAGCCCTTGTTCTATGTGATAAGGCAATCTCCTTGGGGATCTGAGCTGTGTAGTTTTGCACCACGAGTGACAAGGACTCGACTTGAATAACTGC